TTTATAACAACTAGGGTCGTCTGATATCAACAAAAAATTAACATTATTTGTCGACTGAAGTCGATATACAATAAACAACCTTATAGAGTAAACAACATCTATTGAGTACCCTAATTGTGTTTTATTATTATTTTATTTATTGTATAGAAAATGTTTATTTATTTTTGTGCTAAATGTTTTTAAAGACTCATATTCATTTTAGAAGGCAAAGATTGTGTCAACCAAACAGACGGTTGTCAACCAAATTATGGTGTGGTTGGAGGCCGGTGTGGAAATGGTTGCGGTATTTGTAAGCAGCTTTTAATGTAAACATATTAGTGACAGCTAGAAGTGAGAACTAATCCAAACAGCTGATCGTTATTTCATAAAATGTAATAGTAAACATTGGGAGAAAATTTGACAAAATTCGAACCAAATTGGGTTTTTGATGGTTCGTTATTTTGTTTTCAAAGAAGCGAGGCCATGTTTTTATAGCCAAAGACACTCTCATCAGTCCAGTAAATACGGAAAAATTATTAGAACCTTGATCGGAACTTTAGTTTTCTAGGATTAGGCCGCGCAAAATGACATTTTGGCACAGAATAGACAAACAGACAGACATAAATTGAGATAAGACTCGTTTCGGCTTTCAATAGAGTTCCCTATGGTGTGGCGTCAGCACCAGGTATTTTTCAAAAGATAATGGAAACCATTCTTGCGGGTATTCCAGGAGTAGTTTGTTTCCTGGATGATATTTTGATTACGGGTGAGAACAATGAGGTACATAAAGAGAGGTTAATTGAAGTGTGTAGTAAACTTAAAGGTAATGGTTTGACAGTAAGCAAGAAAAAGTGTGAGTTCTTTCGTAAATCGATTGAATATTTAGGGTATGTTTTGAGTGCGGAAGGTCTAAGCACCTCACCGTCTAAGATTGGTGCTATAGAGAAAGCTCCTTTACCAACTGACTTATCACAGCTAAAAGCATTTTTAGGCATGGTAAATTACTATGGCAAGTACGTACCTCACTTATCAACTATCGCAGCCCCTTTGTATAATTTGCTAAGAAAAGACAGTGTTTTTGAGTGGACAGCCACCTGTGATCAAGCATTTAAGCTAATCAAAAGTAAATTGGTGTCAGCACCAATATTAGCACATTACGATCCTAACTTACCTGTAAGCCTAGCTACTGATAGCTCTAGTTATGGTTTAGGGTGTCTACTAAGTCAGAGACAGAAAGACGGTTCAGAGAAACCGATTTGTACATTGTCAAAAGCTGAGGTAGGCTATAGTGTCATAGACAAGGAAGCACTAGGTATTGTGTATGGGGTTAAAAAATTTAACCAATATTTGTATGGTAGGAAATTCGTCTTAATTACAGACCATAAGCCTTTGTTGTCCATTTTCGGACCTAAGAAAGGGTTGCCTGCGTACGCAGCCAGCAGACTTCAGCGCTACGCGCTCTTCCTAACTAATTATGATTTTGACATAAAGTACGTGAGGTCAGAGGCGAATGCCAACGCCGACTGCCTATCTAGATTGCCCTTAAATATAAGAGATTTTCCTTTTGAGTCAGACGATGTAAATTATGTTGGTACGTATTTGCAATACATACAAGAAAATGACATTCCTGTTAATTTTAATAATGTAAGAGAAGAGACAAAAAGGGACGTTGTGTTAAACAAAGTTTTAGGTTATGTTTTATATGGCTGGCCAAACTACGCACCAAGTACTGACGAGAATCTAAAACCCTACTACTAGCGACAAAGTGAATTAGCTGTTGAGAACGGTATTATTGTGTGGGGGCATAGAATAGTGGTACCTCAAAATTTACGGAAGTTGCTTTTGTCAGAATTTCATTGTGGGCATCTCGGAATTGTTAAGATGAAAGCCATAGCCCGATCGTACTTTTGGTGGCCTGGTCTAGATGCGGATATAGAAAATCTAGCTAACAGCTGTTCACTCTGTCTGATGGTACGTCAGAGCCCAGCTAAGTGTAACTTACATGTGTGGGAACACCCCAAAAACGTATGGGAACACCTACATGTTGATTTCTTGGGCCCTATTAATGGTAAATTGTATCTCATCATAGTAGACGCTCACAGTAAGTGGTTGGAAGTAGAAGAAGTGAGCTCTACGGCAGCCAAACAAACTATTGCTAAGCTCAGACCACTATTTGCGAGATTTGGTCTTCCCCACCAAATAGTTTCTGATAACAGACCACCGTTTACTTCTTTTGAATTTAAAGATTTTTTGAAATCTAATGGAATCACACACACATTGACACCACCATTTCACCCAGCTACAAATGGTCTAGCCGAAAACTCTGTCAAAAATGTCAAGAAAAGAATTAAGCTAGCTATTATGAGTAACAACAGTGTAGATTTATCTTTGTGTAAGTTTTTGTTAGCTTATAGAAATTCTGTGCACTTAACCACCAACGAAACCCCTGCAAAATTGATGTTTAATAGACCATTAAGGTGTAGGTTAGATTTGATCAGGCCAAACCTACCACAGTTTGTACATGACCGACAGAGTAAACAGATTCAGAATTATGGCGGAAGTAAGACCCGAGTGTTGTTTGAGGGTCAGCCAGTAATTGTTCGTGACTATAGGGGTAGAAGTAAGTGGATAGAAGGTGTAGTAGTTAGAAAATTAAGTGCAGTGTCTTATTTGGTTAGGTTGAAAAATGATGTGATATGGAAGCGTCATATTGACCAAATAATAGGGGTAAACAGTATACCACCCACTTTTAGTATTGACAGAGAAGCGTCTGTACCATTGTTGCCACCAGGTCTGTCAAGTGAGCAACGGCTAGTAGTAGTAGTGGAGGCATCAGCTGTTCCAGGCACACCGCCACAACAATCGCGTAGTCCAAAACAAAATACACCACACCGCGCGAGCGCTACTAGGCGGAAGTCTGATGTCATAGCAGACATTCCTATTCCACCTAGTATAGTAACAGCTGATAGTCCAAAACAAACAGTAGTAGATCGACGTTACCCTATTCGGGAACGTAAACCAACCGAGAAACTTAACTTGTAAGATATGTACTAAACCAAATGTTCTGGATATTGTTTTGAGTTATGATGTATTTATGTATGCTGTGTTTATTCATTGTTTTTACAGATTTTATATTCCTTTATTTGTGTGTTACAATTGATTATTATTGTTATTATGGTATAAATTTTGGTTTGAGTTGAATTTCAGATATCATAACGGTTCAGTAGTATTTTATTGATTTTATATTATGTGTGTGATTATTGTTGTGTTCTTTTACAATGCGTGATGAGTATTTTGCTGATAATTATCGTGTTATATTTATGTTCTAATTCAAAACCGTTTTATCAATTTTATATATGATTTGATAGTCATCAAAGTTAAGGGGGAGGAAATGTAGTGTATTTCATATAGTACACCTTGCTGTGTATAACTATTGTCAATGTATGTATCATGATGGCAGTGTTTGAGTGAATAAACCTTTGCCGTGGTCCGATCATCACGCCACCCTCAACCGACCAATCACAACACAGCCTGACCACGCTCCTATTTTCCCGGCTTTTCCTCACAGCCTTCCAGCAGCTCCCGTTATGTAACCATCTCCGTGTTAGTCCCGCCCGTATCGGCCGCGGCAATTCATTACTGTAAAATGTGTATTTATTTACTTCCATTTTCAAGTTCTTAAACTACGGACATTCCAATTTAGCGACGAGGATGCCTTAAAGAGCCATTCCAGATTAATCGACAATCAAATTATTTGCCAGGCCGAGAAAATCTCCCTTCTTCTCAGGCTTTGGCCAGTTTAATCCTCGTCCACACAAACTATGTGTTCAAACCCCTCCCCTAAATTATGCGTCTAAAATACTAACAGCACGACCCCTTACCACCCTGAGTGATAGGGAACATTGGGATTCACTATAACCTTTCCTCTCCCCTTCTTGGGTAAACTTTCATTCCTTTCCTTTCTTTGTTTTTGTTTTTTCTTTTTTAATTTTAAAAGCCTGTATGTATCCCCTTTTCTTCATATTTCTGTGGTACTTTCCTTTAGGTCACAATTGTTTCCTTGTCTCTTAACAAGTTATATTTTCTCATCTATAGACCTTTCCTATCCAAGACCTCTTCCTGTTCTTTCCTATTTGCTTCCTGAAGTGGACAATTCATCAAACCTGACTCGCGGTCACTATTTCTCTGCATCTGCATACTTCCTCTTCCACCAGGTTAAATCTCCGCAAATTCACCTTAAAATTTCCATGTCCTATGACAAACTGCGTTCAATAATGACCCACCTCCCAATCTTTTCCAGCCTCCTTTTGAAGTTCGATATATTTATATATCATATCCGAACGTTTACCTTTATTCTACACTCTGCTCCCAGCGCATTTGCATTTGTACCAGCTCTAATGTATCCCCTCTTGTTTTCCGATTCTTTTCCGATTTCCGACTGATTTCCGTTTATTTGGTTTTTTTGTGCAAATAAAAACTGGTTTAAAACAGTGAAACATCAATCTTTTCAACTAATCTAATAAATCCTTGTAGCACAACCATGTCTCCAATTTTAGTATAACCAGCTGTTTTAAAAATTAGTGTCAATTTCAAAGTGTTCAAATGTAAACAAACATTTTCTCCCTAAGAATAACATGGGAACTTTGAAGGCCACTGGGGCAGAGCCCTGATGGAATTCCAAAGTTTTTTGTTTGATGGCAAAACTACATGCTAAGACATTTCTAACGACACCTTAGACATGGTGATCGGTTGCACCACCGCTCCAAAACAATTATGACAAAAATATGCCTAGTGTATTAAATATATAGATTAAACATACAGTATGACTGTTTATGTATCAGTAAACAGTCTTTTGGCAAACTTATAGTGAAATATCTATTGAGGTATTTTATAAATTATTATTAAAACGTATGTACGGCAATCATCCCCCCCAAAAACCTTCAACATATCTTTAAAATCTCATCCAATGCTAGCTGGCTGGAATCTCTAAATACCCAACCACACTGTGTTTGTTTCCGTACCTGAGTAGTTTGATGGACAGCCTCATAAGTTAGAGTGCCAGATCGAGACACAATGCCAATCCTGCCCTTCTGGTGAATGTGGCCAGGCATAATTCCTATCTTGCACTGCAAATAACAGAAACAACAGGTAAATAATGTTTTTGCTTTAAGATGTCAAGGTAATTTCAGATGTAATTCTAGTTTTATAGAATCATGCTGTATACTTGTGGTAAAAAAAAACTTCAGACTACTGTTTCATAAATTTAACTTGCGTTCAGTTTAAGAAGCTTTTTCTGAAGAAGTCTTTTACCTTAAACTGAACCTATAAAGAGGTGCTAAAATAGGGATCACATCATTTGTCCGAGTTTTCAACTGTCCGAGTTTGTTAAAAATTACAAAATATTTGAAAAATCATTTGTCCGAGTTTTCAACTGTCCGAGTTTTGATAAATAACTAATAATAATTAGATAAATCAACTGTCCGAGTTTTCATTTGTCCGAGTTTTTAAATTATTTAAAAAATAGCAAAATATCATTTGTTCGAGTTTTCAACTGTCCGAGTAGGGGCAACATCAAAATGTGACCCTGTGTGCCGAGACTAGCGTGTCTAAAGCACCTGTTCAGAAGACGATGTGAACCCCTTCTGTGAAGGAGTCAGGCATTGTGCGAGCCGCGAGAGCCCCTCACGTCGAATTAAGAAAAATTATTTTATTTTTATATAAGACTAATTTTACAATTATTAATTATAAAATTAAACTCTCATCACCTAACACAACCAACCAAACTTGCTGATAATATAAAATACCCCCGCCATTATTATATTATCAGCAAGTTTGGTTGGTTGTGTTTGGTGATGAGAGTTTAATTTTATAATTAAAAATTGTAAAATTAGTCTTATAATAAAAATAATATAATTTTTCTTAAGTCGACGTGAGGGGCTCTCGCACAATGCCGTACTCCTTCACAGAAGGGGTTCACATCGACTTCTGAACAGGCGCTTTAGACACGCTAGTCTCGGCGCGCATTGTCACATTTTGATGTTGCCCCTACTCGGACAGTTGAAAACTCGGACAAATGATATTTTGATATTTTTTTAAATAATTTAAAAACTCGGACAAATGTAAACTCGGACAGTTGATTTAACGAAATATTATTATTATTTAAACCATACTCGGACAGTTGAAAACTCGGACAAATGATTTTTCAAATGTTTTGTAATTTTTAACAAACTTGGACAGTTGAAAACTCGGACAAATGAACCTCACCCCTAAAATAAATCTTTCTTAGAGTAAAATGTTAGCCCACAGGTAAAAACTTAAATGTAAAAAATATCTCTTAAAATAATTAAAAGAAACTAGGGTACCTGTTGCTCGAATTCGAGCAAGTGCTCAGGCGTTATTTTTAAACGAATAAATTCATAATTTCTGATACTTTAAAAGAATCGACTCAAAGATTATGGAAATACTCAATGTGTACATAACAGATCGATATAATCAACATTTCTTGTAAATAAAGGGTGATTTTTTTATTGGTGCGGTTTTTAAAACTAAATAAAAAAATGAAAAACAACCTGCATTGACATAAAAATGCATTTATTTGAACTACAGTGTCATGACATTAACGTATAAAAATGATTTCTGGCATATGGGCTCCATTCCGTTCGCGTAGAAAGCCCAATCGAGAAGTCCAATTTTCGAATACTCTTTCCAGCAGCTGTGAATTCTGCCAATAACTCGACGAATGTTAGCTTCCAAGCCATTTAAAGTTTGTGGCTTGTCAGCGTATACTTGAGTCTTAACATATCCCCACAGAAAGAAGTCTGTTGGCGTGATATCACACGACCGTAGGGGCCAGTTGACACTACCTCTAAATGAGATGATACGTTCACCAAATGTTTCTGCCAAGAGGCCAATTGTGTCGTTTGCCGTGTGGCACGTCGCGCCGTCTTGTTGGAACCAGACATTTTCTAAATCCACTTCAAGTTCGTTTAGCTGAGGAACGAAAAAGTCCCATAACATTGCCCGATAGCGTTGAAGCAAAATCGGCTCTTTCAATAATTACTAAGAAATCCAGCACAGTGTTAATTCAGTTTTCTTTTTAGTATATCAAATTATCCAGGCTCTCTCGCTTTTTTCATTTAAATATTTACACCACCCCAAATTCAAATAGTAAATATTTCATTTCAACCAAAGTCAGTAAATGTTTGTAGCAAACTGTTAAATTAGTAAACTTTTTGACTGTTTACAATTACAATCAACATGTGTTCTTCTTCTCACTTTTAATTTCTGACAACAGGGCCCTGTTTCATAAAAATACTAGTCTAGTATTTACTAGTCCATGGACTAGTAATACTAGTGTATTTTACAAGTCTACGTTTCAAAAACCTACTAGTGTAAAATACTAGTTACTAGTGTAGGGACTAGTATTACTAGTGGTTTTTACTAGTGTAGACAGCAATGTGTTTCATAAAGTTTTACTCTTGTAAATTACACTAGTAAATACTTGCTATTTTCTACCAACCTCTCTTCACCCGTATTATTTGAAGTAGACTAGTATTTTTGGAAAGAGAGCTATTTCATTACTCACATCATTAAAAAAATGAATTATTAAGTTCTTTTGCAAGTGCGAATTGGCTCACGAATAGATCTGTGAGTGCTAAAATGATAATTATTAGATATAAATTACAATCAATAAATGTGGCGTGGTACAAAATGAGTGAAATTCAATATTATAATGTATGTAGAATCGCCCTATTAGAATAATTATGATTAAGTTATCAATTTCTGTGAATTTTTAGTCTAATTTTACTTGAGTTAAATTTCATGGTTATATCAACTATTTAGCTATCACAGAGAAAAATTTATTAAGCTTTGATAGGAACCAAATTAAAACCGCATACCGTTTTGAATACAAAGATGTACAAAAATGTATTAATCAGATTATTTTACACCCAATTAAGGCTCTCGGTTTTATTTAAAGACATTTTAATAGGAAATAATAGTAAGGCAATTTTAAAAAGGAGTTGCATTGTATTTTTTGAGGTGCTTATTATTTGCTTCCGTAAATAGCTAAAACCCTGTGATGTACTAACAATTTTGTAGACCTATATTTGATTTTTGGGCGTTGAACTTAACTGCTTATCATAAAAACATTACTTTCAATCCATTTTGGTATTCTGAATTTGTTATTCAAAGTAATAAAAAAAATAGATGTTGATTAGAGCTGTTATTTTAATGTAAAAACATGTAAATGTTTAATTAATGCAATAAAAAGTAGAGTGGCGCAGATTTGGACCAGGGTCCGACCACATGACAAGCGAGAACTCTGCCTCTGAGCTAAGCCCTGCCGTAGCGCCTATGCCATGTTTTACTATACTTGAAAACAGCTACTTCTCTATTGCTTGTAACGGCGTTGCAATTATTTGTTACATCAATAAACATTTAGGCTTATTATTCATGGTTTGTAGACTCAAAATTAGAATATCACCAAATGGTTTTTAACCCAAATATTCTTATGCATTCGAATATTTGAAAACATAGGTTAGGGTACTTGAAAACATTCCAAACAAAATGTCCTTAAACGATTTAATTACATTCAAAATTTGAGCCATCTTTTCTTTAATCATAGCAAGCTAAATTTTATATGTCAGCATAAAACAAAAACCATACAAATTGTGTGAATGCGGCAGCAACAGATCAACTTTTTTACCCAACTCTGTTGAGCGCCGCAACTAGGCCTACAACCGGCTACTACTGCAGCGACGCGACGCCGCGCCGCGCCGTCGGCGGGTTCATTGATGAACATAAATAATAGCGTTTTGATAAATAATATGTGATTGTTTTACTTATGTGTCTATATAGTTATTAATTTAAAGAAAACACTGCGTTTCTACAACTATTTACTTTTTGTATCAAATGAAAACAAAATTAAAACCCTTTATGAATGGTTTGAAACCCCGTGATTGAGGTTAGAAATTTGTTTTGAGAATTTACCTTGTAAAGTTGGTCACGTGACTAGTAGTTTTGGTCACGTGACTAGTAAAATACACTAGTATTTACTAGCGGTATAAAAACGTTTATGAAACACAAATTAGTAGGACAGGTAAATACGAGACTAGTATTTACTAGACTAGTAATTACTAGACTAGTATTTTTATGAAACAGGGCCCAGGTGGAGTTCAGTTTCATAACAATTTTTGTTTCCCATGTTAATCTTATGAAGAAATACGAAGCTTTAAAGAGCCCCAGGGCCTCACTCTCTAATTATTTCCCTAAAAAGAAAGTTTCCTGCACAACTTCACGTTACGCTCTTTCCAATGGCACCAAAAACATGTCAATCGGTTCAGTAGATTCGGAGGAGTAATTGTCACAAAAAACCTGCTTGCGTATTAAATAAGTATATATATAGATTGAAATTAAAGGATTTTAACATGGATGAACTTATTCACCCAAGAATGCAGGACACCTGAGAATGCAGAAAACATGCTGAAATTATGACTCTTTTGTACTTGACTCTCACTTTAAGGAAAATGGAATGCGGACAGTTTCTCACAAAAGGAATAACAAAAACTGTAAGAAACTAGTTTTTACAAAAACTGTAACTGAAAAACTAGTTCATGACTTTACAAAAGGAAATTTAAATAATCTTGATTCCCCCGAAAACCCAACAACCATAGAGATATGCAAAAATATACAAAAGTCCCAGAAAACACATCTAAACCCAATGATACCTAAAAAATTGATGATAAATTGGCTAACTATATTAACCACTCAGAAACACATAAAAGCCAAAAAATTATCTTAGTCGGAGACTCAATAATATCAGAAGCTGCAAACATGCTCCGGCAAAAAGAACTACAATCCCATGTAATGCCCGGTGGAAATATAAGAGACCTGAGCAGATACCTAAACAGCCTAGATGCACTCCTCCCCGAAATTGTCTACATCCACATAGGAACAAACAACCTACCGGATGCAAAAAACGCAAACCACATCATGCGGCCCTTGTGGCTTACCATTGAAGCAAATAAAAAAAGATCCCCAACTACCATTTGGATAGTGGATGGAATACTCTACAGAGAAGACTTTCATTCCCACACAATCTCAGAAGTAAACTACTCATTTAAAT